AGGAGACGAGCATACCCAAAATGGATTTCTCCGCCAGGCCGTCGAACTGGTTTTCTTTCCATTCTTTTGATTAAGAAAATATTTACAAAGTTGTTGAGTTATCATTTAGATTGCCTCAATTGAGGGGGCACTAGATTTTAACCGTTCTTTCTGGTGTTTTGATGAAGAAAATATTTACAAACTTGCTCAAGAGTTTAGCCTCGAGACTTTGAAGGCTATGAGATGCATTTTTTGGAGAATGCACTACTCATGTGAGGAAGATGAAGTTTCTTCTCCTGCAAAATTATTAGAGAAGCTGGAGGAAACAGGGATGGACGCACAATACAAATTGATTTGTCGGTTGATTTGTCTAATGTTGACCTAGCCGTTTCAACAACTACCATGGAGAGAATATTTTCAGCAATGGAACATGAACATTGATTTGTGCAACAAAATGAGCGATGAATTTATCGTTGATTACTTAGCTATTTTCTTTGAAAAAGAGTATATTATCAGTATGGATGGAGATTATATTATTGATGAATTTGCTAAATTAAAAGACCTTCTTATACAATTGGCATTGTAATGAAAGCTATATTATTATATATTTTTGTTTATGATATCCAATATTCTATTCAAATGCGGCCTAGTGCTCTCTTATGTCCTGGATCCGCCGCTGAGAAGAAGAGGGTTTGGTTTTCAGATTTGGGTTTTGACTCTGTTTCCCCTGTTTCGATCTGTTGCAGTGGCGGATTTAGGGGGTAGCCACCCCGAGCCACGGTCCAGCCCTCCTCTAGATCCGGAGTTAGTATAGCTCTTATGAGTTAATCGGTTTTAGCCATTCGGTCTAGTGTTATTTTATAATGTGATTGTGTGTAATTAAGAAAATGAGTTAGATGGACATATTCAAATCACAACTCTAAATTAGCCTAGAAATTCTAACTCCAATAATTCTCGTCTAAAGAAAAACAAATAATGAAACCTAAAAGTCTAAAACGTAAAAGACTAAAAGAAATATGAGGTTTGTTACCTTGAAAAATTACTAGAGCAGTTGGTGGAAATAGGGACAGACACACAATACACATTGATTAGTTGTTTAATTTTTCTAGTATTGACATTGCTCGTTTCAACTTTCAACATCTACTACGGAGATAACCTTTTCAACAATGAAACAAGTAAAAATGATTTGCGCAACAAAATGAGCGATGAATTTCTCGCCGATTGGTTAACTATTTTATTTGAAAGAGAGTATACTATTGGTATGGATGTAGGTTCCATTATTGATGAATTCGCTATATTAAAAAAATCGATGTATAATATATATTGTAAAAAAACTATGATTTTTTATCTAAATTTTTAATGAAATGCGGCCTAGTGCTCTACTATGTCCTGGATCCGCCGCTGATCTGTTGTGGTGAAATTATTTTGGGAGACGAGATGCGGCGGCCAGTGACACTGTCGATGAGAGCTGGGGAAGAGAAGCGCCACCAGGGATAGCGAGAGCTTGACGACAATGTGGGTGAGAAAGCGACAGAAGAAGGAATTGAACTAGGATTTTATGACGGAGACGAGCGTGACTAGTCGGTCGTAGAATCCATGGAGGACATTGTAACTGACGGAGCTGATTGCAAGGATTGTGAAGACGAGGAAGAAGATGGCAAAGCTGGAGACGAGAGCTAGGGTTTCGATTGGGAGTTGGAGGTCATCGTCGTCATCGTGATGGTGTGGGAAAATGAACTGTTCGAAGGATGGTAAGTTCAACTGGGCTAGGTTGTGGATCGAGGAGCGGCGGCGGGACGTAGAGGAGGGAGAAAGAGGGGAAATGGGATAGGGGTAAGTGTTTGTGGCAACAGGTTGGGCGGGGACTAGCGGGCGGGTTGATATGAATTTGTATTGGTTTAAATTGGGTTGGTTGAATGAGGTTTTATGACGTGACGGATTGGATTTTTTGTAAAAAATTGACGTCGTTAATGGATACTAACGGAAGGTAACAGAGAGTAACTAAAGTTGAAACGTTAACTAATGTTATGGATCACAAATGAAATAAAATATTTCGAGTGACCAAATATGAACGTTTATTGTAATTTTAGTGATCAACCATGCAATTAACCCATGTATATGTATAAGTATCGAAATACCTCACCCGAATATGTCGTTGTGATTCCTACCTAGGGTTGTCCATTTGGTTTTGGTTTTTTGGTTTTAACCGAAACAAACCAATTGGAAAGCTAATGGTTTCAGTTTTTTGGTTTTAAACCAATAAGCAACTTAATGATTTTGGTTAAAACCGAAAAACCAATAGAAACCATTAAAAACCAATAAGAATAAATTTATTTATCAACTAATAATTTTTTTTTCTTTTGACACGGATGCCAACCAATAATTTGTAATGGTAATTTACCATTATTATGACGTTTATTCAATAAAAAGGAGGGAAATAGGAATAAATATGAGTGTATGAGTACATGTTGGTTTTTTTGTTATCCAAACCAAAACCATTAAGGCCCTTATTGGTTTTTGGCGCAAAAAACCAATAAGAACCTTAATGGTTTTGATTTTTAGGTTTTGGTTTTTGATTTGGGTTTTTCATACTTAATGGTTTGGTTAACCACACCAAACCAAATCGAGGCTTGCCCCGGGCTGCTGCAATCCCTCTCTTAAGCATTTTGTTCTCTCAAGTTTCGGGCGGTGCGGGATCTATCTCTACGGCACTAACGGTGGGTTTTCATGGATTCTCTCGGCGAGGTAGAGGTGCGGGCACAGGGTTCGTGGACATGGATTCGACTTATCAAGTTATGTATGCTATGGGTAAGTACTACGAAGACATTACTGATTCTCTCCTTACTGATTTGTTAGCCTTTCGTGACGCTCTGGATTGGTGTCTGATGCATGGTTTTTTGTCTCTCAAATTCCATGGACATTCGCATATGGTGGTTCGACTTCTCTTGGCGGGAGACTCTCTTCATGCTACGGCGGGGGCGATCCTCGCTGATATTCGTCAGTTAACAAGGAGGCTCGAGTTCTGTTCTTGCTCCCTTGTTACTCGTCGAGTTAATAGAGCAACCCATTTTGTGGCTCAAAACGCTCTCTCATCAGAAGTTCGGTGATTAGTCGACTTCCGCCCGTGGATTTATTCTGTACTTTGATTTTGTTCCTGGTTTTGACTATCTTAAAAAAAAAATTGACAGCCCTATATTCCTACCTAGAGGCTAGAACCGACATCACCTGAAAACATTTCGAATTCAAATTCCCCCGCGAAAGAGAAATCATAAGGATTTCTCGACCACAGGGTCAACTTTTCCCAAATTTAAAAACGACACGAAGCGGCCGACACCTCTCTCGGAGATGCAAAAGGACACCGCCGAAGACAATCCCTAGCTACCTCAATGGAATTCCACCTCTTTTGTTCTCTTCTGGAGTGGAACCCAACCCCAACGTCAACACACAAATACAACAACAACAGCAGCGGAGATTCTGTTCATTCTACTCTCTTAAATATAGTAGTCATCAATCATTAGCCCAGAGCATCGACCGGCGAACACTAAGGTCCAAATATAATCCCACAACAGAAGGTGTTTTATCAATGCTTCCATCCCCAACTTCTTGTTTAATTATTTAGGGTTTCCCACGAAAGCAGAGAGAGGGAATTCCAAAATTACTTCATCCAAACCATCTTTACATACCATTTGTTATAACTGAATTTCATAAGTTTTGAGTAATTCATTTTGAAATGAAATTTTTTTGTGTTTGTTATTTAAAAAAATTTATTTTTAATTCTAAATTTTGAATTCTACGGAATTGCAGTTAGTTATAGCAATTCCGAGAAATTGAGATGGAATTTCCAAATGAATTCCACAAGTATTTGCTAATTATAATAAAATGACATAATTAACCTCATTTATTAACTAAATTACTTCTACATATATTATTTGAGGCCAACTCATGCAGTATGAGGAACATCGACAAGAATTTGATTGCAATTCTAGTAGCATATGTTGGTTATTTGATATTTCTACTTCAATTGTATCAGATCGTTGAGAAGCCACAATTAGAGTGTAGGGTTCATCGACAAAGTATTAGAAAATAACTAATCAATAGAATAAAAACACATAAGATCACTTTTGATATTCTACTTATGGGACCAAAGACGTTTTTTAGAAGATGGATTTCAATGAATATTGTTTCTGCCGGAAATTAATAAGGGTGTTGTTGGAAACTCTTAGTTTGATTCAATTCTAAACGTATGCCAAACATGATTTGGAATTTCAATTCACTTTATTTCTAAAGATTTGAATATGACATACCAAACAAAGGAATTTATTTGAAAATGAATTCTCAATTCTACTCGGTAATTCATTTTAAAATGAAATGAATTCTCGGTTCATTTTATACCAAACGGTTTTTAGTTATTTTCTTATCTTTTTTTCTATCTTTTAACCTTACCAATTAAATTTGGGCTTATACCACTAGGAAACCCGAACTATTAACTTTGTATCATTTATGTCCTAAAGTATTCGATACGACATTTGTGTCCCAAAACTATTTTTCCGTTATAGTTGACTGGCGTTGACCGTTAATTTGTAACAGAAACTTTAGTCAGCGCTGATGTGGCATCTGACGTGGAATTTATAATATCAATTTATAATTATTTTCCATATAAATGAATAATCTAAAACAAAAACAAAATTAAAAAAAATCCCTGTCCTCCACTCACTCTGATCTCTTCTCCCAACAGCCATGGCCGTGAAATCCAACGACGGCGGCAGCGGTTACCTGGCTATCTATCCTTCCGCCACCGAAACGAATGAAAGCGACCCGTTTCTTTCCTCTAAAGGCTTAAAATCTCCTCCCTCGAAATCGAATTGAACTTCACTACTTCTCCTCTCTACCAATGGCGTGGTTAGTCACTTTAACGATGGTGCTCTACACGTGTCACCTCGCTTCCGCCGCCGCGGCGGAGAATCGTCTGAGTCAGCCGGGTCTGACTTCGCTCCGGGAGGCCGCCATTGCTCTTGATTACCTTATCGTAAAGGGTGTAGGGATCGCAGAGGTCGAGAAATCAAGGTGAGGGAGTCGTCGAAGTCGAAGGCGTCGTGGATCTGAAGGATGTTTGGGTGCGGCGGGAGGAAGAGCATGACTTTGGGCTCCTTCTCGAGGCAGTCGCGGTCGGCTTGGTCGGCGAGCAGGGATTTGTCGATGGTCTTGCAGGCGAAGAAGGAGTTCTTCGTCGGAGAGAAGCACCGGGAGATCACGCCGAATCGCCCCCGTCCGATCTCCTCGCACACCTGGTACTTGTTCTTCAGCGTCTCGCTCATCGCTAGAGTCTTCATCTTTTTTCCTCTTCTCTCTTCTTGCTTCTTGTCGATTGGGTTCTTGGTTCTTGTCGTCAATGGCGGAATTTGGGGGAGGCGGTGGATCTGGATATGAGGGGTTCTTGGTTGTTGACATAAAAAGATAAATAAAATTTAGGTTTAATCATTTTTATAACAATATATTTTTTTTTATTTTTTTTATTTAAAAATATGAGGTGTCACTGACGTGGCATCTACGTGGCTGCCACGTCAACAAAAGTCAATGTTAATGTTGACTTCCATTTGGTCAACCGTTATATATAACGGTCAACAAAATCATCAGGACATAAATGACACAAAACTATAATAGGTTGGGACACAAATGTCGTATGAATACTTTTGGACACAAATGACACAAAATTAATAGTTCGGGTTCCCAGTGGTATTAGCCCATTAAATTTTGCACAAATCTCATAACAACAATTGGATCCTTTAGTTATTTTCTTATCTTTTTTCTCTCTTTTAACCTTACCAATTAAATATTGCACAAATCTCATTAGGAATGGCAATGGGCAGGTCCGGTGCATGTTTCTTGGTACCCAGACCCGTCCCGTGGCAGGTCGGGTCCAGGTCGGGGCAGATCGACTCAATGGGTATGCAATTTATATGAAAAACATTATAAATATTCGTTATTTTTATTATAAGACTAAGAAAACAAACAATATTATGACAAATGTAGTTAAATTATTGGAAAAATTGAGGTTTTCACTAATTTACAACTTTATTATAGCTGAAATATGATATAATAAAAGGAAAATCCTAAGTAATTTGACTAAGATTACAGGTAATTTAGACAAGAACGGGTCGAGAATGTGGCGGGTCAGGGCAGGTCGGGTCGATGAGACTACCCATGCCCGCCCCAAAATAGGTCAAACAGGTCGGGTAAAACAGGTCAGTAGGAAAGGCAATGGGGCAGGTTCGGGGCGGATTTCTTGGTACCTAGACCCGTCTCGTGGCAAGTCAGGTCTAGGTCGGGTAATTTATCACGGGTCGCGGGTTGGGACAGATCGACATAATATGTATGCAATTTATATGAAAAACATTAGAAATATGTGTTCTTTTTATTATAAGACCAAGGAAACAAACAATATTATGATAAATATATTTCAATTATTGGATAAATTGAGGTTTTGACTCCTTTACAATTTTATTATAGATAAAATATGATGTAATAAAAGGAAAATCCTTAGTAGTTTGACTAAACTTACATGTAATTTAGACAAGAACGGGTCGAGAATGGGACGGGTCAGGGTAGGTCGGGTCGATGAGAGTACCCATGTCCACCCCGCCTCGCCCCAAAACAGACCAAACAGGTCGGGTAAAACCGGTCAGATCGAAATTGTCATCCCTAAATCTCGTAACAACAATTTCACATGTTTTCGCGAATCTTATCATGAAACTACCCCTATATTTAAGGATAGAGTTTCATAGTTACAATTCTAAAGTACATATTCAACGAATGCATATACTGGGGGGTAAATGTGACTTTTCATATCTACAATGTGGTAAATGTGAATTTCCATATTAAACGTGATTTTTTGACCAAAGAAAGTGGTTTCGCAAATTTTGTTCATTTATAAAATTACACTACTGATTTCTTTACTCTTCAATTTCACCCATTTGAACAATTACTCTATTCATTTATAAGACACCAAACATAAAATTATCGAATTCTAACCATGGTAAGTTGGTAACTGCCAAACAAGCCCTAAGGACTAGTTTAGTTCTGGTGATTATTTGGTTCAGATAGTTACAATTAATGTATTATCCACAATGAATTGTTTTTTTAAATTTTTTTGCACAAAAAGTACATGCATTATTTGTTTGATGTGACACAAACTATCATTCAAAATGAGTGATAGTTAAATACTTACATATCAAGTTTTTTGTATGATTATTGAGATCGTTTGATTGAGATTGTTGAATATTTTTTTTCTTTCAACTATATCCCTACATTTTTATATATGTTGCTTCTTATATGAAAAAACGAAGAATAAATGTGACATTTCATCCAAAAAGTAATATAACTTATTTAAATAATAATACACCAATTTTAACTATATACATATATATTATTATACGGCAAAGGCTAGCGTACGTCAGTCGTACGCTGCAGGCCTGTGTTCACACTTGGTTTTTGCACTTCAATATATTTCGCTGAATCAGAACCGTCAATTATTATTTTTTAGGCTAAATGAATCTCGTGACTTGGGTTAGAGAATTAGGGACTGAGATTTATCCATTAGAAATTAGGTTATAGTATCATGCCCAAAATTTCGGCTAATTCCTGCTCTAAATAATAAAACTAGACAAGCGTACAATGTACGACTGACATACACTAGTCTGAACCTTTGTTATACATATATTAATGATAATACATCAATTTAAATATCTCCAAAATCAAATCACTATCATACTATTCCCCGTTCACCAATCACCGCATAGAAATTAGGGCAAACAGCCAAAGACTAATTTTCCCTATATAAAATAAAAATAGTTCCAAGACTAATATAAATTAACAATTAAGGACAGGAAAGAAGGAAGAGCGAATCTACATTCTGTTTCGTTTTGTCAGCCTCAAGTTTTAGCACGTCGTGCAAATTACCCGAAACACCCCTGCCCTGCCTGCTGCCCGACTGCCCCTGCCCCTAAATATAAAAATTTGCCTACATAGCAGCACTTGTCTCTGTCTACTCTTTCCTCTCTGCTTCATCACCACCACCACCACTGCTCTCACTCCACCCTTTCCCCTCTCTCTCGCTTCCCAACGAAACCGCCACAATGCGGTCGTCGGCGGCATTGCTCCTTCTCCTAGCTCCGCTACTCCTCTCAGCCGTCTCCGGCCACAACATCACCCGCCTCCTCGCCAAGCACCCGGAGTTCTCCACCTTCAACCACTACCTCACCCTCACCCACCTCGCCGACGAAATCAACCGCCGCACCACCATCACCGTCTGCGCCGTCGACAACGCCGCCATGGACGCCCTCCTCGCCTCCCGGCCCACCATCTACACCGTGAAAAACATCCTCTCCCTCCACGTCCTCCTCGACTACTTCGGCCCCAAGAAGCTCCACCAGATCACCAACGGCACCGCCCTCGCCGCCACCCTCTTCCAGGCCACCGGATCCGCCCCCGGATCCTCCGGATTCGTCAACATCACCGACATTCGAGGCGGGAAAGTCGCCCTCGGCCCCGAGGACAACGGCGGCTCCCTCAACGTCTTCTTCGTCAAGGGGGTCGAGGAGCTTCCCTACAACATCTCCGTCATCCAGATCAGCAAGATCCTCCCCTCCGACGTCGCCGCCGCGCCCACCCCCGCCCCCGCCGCCATGAATTTGACCGGCATTATGTCGGCGCACGGTTGTAAGGTCTTCGCCGACACTCTCCTCGCCTATCCTGATGCTTCCAAGACTTTCCAGGTATGCACATTTCCCTTCTTCTTCTTCCTCCTAATTTTTTACCCAGTCAAATTCGTTTTCAATTGATGAAATTCCGGTGGTAATTTTATATCCACCGTCAATTTCTGGGTAGTTGTTGCCTTGTAAGCGTAAATTACGCCATGTTACCCGCTTGACTTTTGTTGCCCTGAATTGCCGTTCCTTCTCAACTGGGATCTAGTGGGAAAGATTTGTTTATTAACAATGGCGGATTTCCCCTGTTTTTTTTCTTTTTCCAGGAGAGTATGGATGGAGGATTGACAGTGTTCTGCCCCATGGACGACCCATTCAAGGCCTTCCTGCCCAGATTCAAGAACCTTACCGCGGCGGGGAAGGTCTCGCTGCTCGAATTCTTCGGGGTTCCGGTGTACATGTCGATGTCGATGCTGAAATCCAACAACGGCGTGATGAACACCCTGGCCACCGACGGGGCAAGCAAGTACGACTTCACGGTGCAGAACGACGGCGAGCAGGTGACCCTGAAGACGAAGAGCACCACCGCATTGGTGACGGGGACACTGATCGACGAGCAGCCCCTCGCGGTGTACACGATCGACAAGGTGCTGTTGCCCAGGGAGCTGTTCAAGGACGCTCCTTCGCCGACCCCTGCACCGGCGCCTGCCCCCGAGAAGGCTGCAGAAGCGCCCAAGTCGGGCAAGAAGAAGAAGAGCAGCAAGGCTCCTCCTTCGTCGGACGACGATGCTGATTCGCCAGCGCCGGCTGACGGACCGGAGGCAGATTCGGAGGATCAGGAGGCTGCAGATGAGAATGCTGCTCTGAGCCGGCTTGCTGGTGTTGGGCAGGTGGTGTTGAATTTGTGCCTAGGACTAGTAATGGTGTTGCTGTAGCTGGTATATCCCCCATTGAAATGTACTCTCTATCGATGTAATCAGGGAAGTCACGGCTCAAAAATTTTCGTTATTTGTTTGAGGGCAGGGGAATAAGGGAAAGGGTATTTATGTGCCATTTGTTTTCTCTTTTTGGTGTGTGGTTTTGGGTTTAGGGTTTGTGAGGGAGAGAGCTTGCTTGTAATGGAGAGGAACTTGTATTCTTGTACCTTTAGTGTGTGTTTATCTTTTCTCTTCTTCCCTCTGGTGAGTAGCAGATGGTTATTGCAGTGAGTTTGGACTGTGAAAACAGTATATTCAGTGGTCATAGTTGAAGTTCTTTGGTTGAGAGGATTTTCTGTTTAGTTGTTTTATAAGATAGTATTGGGGTGCACAGCACAATCTTTATGTTAATTGCATGTAGTACATTCAATGAAATATATAAGTTTGCTGATACAAAACCCTACTACAATGTCGGTGTGAAGGTGCCACACTTTAGTCAATTTGGTTGATTACATGGTAGCCACTAGGGTCTAGGGCTGTCGGTTGGTTTGATTAACCAAACCATTAAACATGAAAAACCGAAAACCTAATCAGACAAAATTTCATACACCAAAATCAAAATCATTAAGGACGTTAAGGTTATTGGTTGGTAAGTCTCTTCACGGTTTTGGTTTGATTTGGATAAATAAATAAAAAAAAAAAATCAAACCCATCATTTGAAAAGTCCAAAAAAGTCCAAAAATGGAGTTAGAAAACGCAACAAGAAGCGTGATAATTGAAAAAAACTAAAGAAATCTACTAAACATAAGTTGGTGACTCCGTGTATTGTTGACGATTATTAACTTAGTTAGAATGTTATTGGCTTCTCATGGGGTTTCTCAATTATATTTGAAACAAAAGTCATTAAGATGTTAAAGGATTTTAAAATAAAAAATCAAAACCATCAAACTTCTTATCGGATTGGTTTCAGTCAAAACCAAAATGGACAGCCCTAATAACCGGCTGTATGTAACTATAACAACACCTTTTCTCATATTGATGATTGACTCAACTCCAACTACACATCCCAATCAACGGTCAAGTATAACCGACGACCGGACGTAGCATAGGGTAAGCAAGTAATAAAATTTATCGTACCACGAGGATCTAAGCTTACCTTACTTCAGATTTATGGTTCGTTATCTAGCCAACCTAGGATAGTGGTTAAGAAAATTACTCTACCGTTAGGAGATAGACTCCCACGGGATTGACCCGGAAAGGCGAATCGATGGATGGGTAGGTGCTCTATTCAACCTAGGGTTTCATATATTGCTAGTAGACTGATTGAATCAACTCCCTCGGGGATTACCCGAACAATATAGGACAGGAGTGACCCGAATATGCCAAGAATGGGCTCTAAGGGGATTTTCTCCCTCCTAGGTCAAAAGCTCAATTGACATGCTATGAAAACCCAACTCATGCCATTCATTTAAACATCCATCAATTATGTAAAATCATCAATAAAAACATGAAATTTGTCACATACATGATACATCAACATAAAACCAAAACCTAGACCTAAGATTCTTAAACCCAAGAGAAGAGGGATAGTTTCTAGACAGAGAAGAGAGAGATTACAAATTGGAGCACGAGATCTTCTTCTAGGTTTGATTCCTTCCTTCCAAGCTTGATCAATGCATTCAAGTAAACTCCAAGATCACTCAAGAACTTCCTCTCTCTCTCTCTCACACAGTCACATCAGAACTCCTCTTTAGTGTTTTGGGTCGAAACCTTAGAGAGAGAATTGATTTCTCCTCCAAAAACCAACTCTACTTTCTCTCTCCCTGCTGTCGTCTTTTTATACAACCCGAAAATCGATTTTCACGGTAACTGTTCACAGCCGTGACGTTGGAAGCCCGATTGTGATCTCGGCCAAAAACGTAAGTGACTGCTGGTTTTTTTGTCCGACTTCACGATCTATGGTAAATTTACACGCTCTGGCGAACATTAAAACCTTTACGTTCGCGAGACGCACAAAACCCTCTGTTTCGGCCTATCTTCACGCCGGTCATGCAATTGTCACATTCGTCTTTTCTTCACTTGTTGGCGCTTTTCGACCTCCAATCTTCCCGAAATTCGTACTCGACATTCCCACACGTGCTAGGACCTGAAATATACAAAAGAAGCACAACCTAGCGTAAAATAGATCGAGAGACGATGATTTATCAAGTCAAACGATCGAGAAATGATGGATAAAATATATGTAATTAGACTCGAATCAATAATGCGTGTAGAGTATGGATAATTGCTATTTGAAGCATTAGTTTTACACAATACACCACAAATCCCTTCGGGTATTTGACAATTGACGCTTCCATCAGACACGGAACAATATCGTACGACTCCTGAGAATTCCCAATTGGGCTGAACAACACAATCTATCTGTTAATTGATTTTAGACTATTATAACTTTTAAAGGTACACCCATTAGGAAGCATGTCCTATTTTTTTAAGTCAATTAGTAAACATTTCACATTTAAGCATTAGCCAGCCATGATGACATATCGATCATGCTACCAACTGCCGATAAATGGGTTTAACATAACGGGCGGGACTTCCACAATGATCGATCTCCATCATTCATGTGTTAGTAGTCATGTTGCAATGTTGATCGATCGATCTCTATCATTTCATATTTAAGCATTAGCCATGATGACCGATCGATCATGCTACCAACTGCCGAGAAAAGGGTTTAACTAACATAACGGGGGGACAGCAAAGCCGTGTCCTTCCACAATGATCGATCTCCATCATTCATGTGTTAGTAGTAGTCATGTTGCAATGTTGCTACTTCAGCAACACTTCCAATTAATTTCCTTACAAAGAAGCAACTCCACAACTACCATCTCCACCTTGCATATTTAGTTATTTACACCCCTCCCTTAACACCATCAATTGGCCACAGAAAAACCCACTCAAGAGGACCTACGAAGCTCATAGAGATGGAATAGTTTCGGAATTAAGTGACCAATTGGTTGTCGTTGCTCCAAGAGCCATTTCGAGAAAACTTCCCCTTCCTTGGTGCCCGTCGGTAGGATTATGAGCCTGAATCGCAAACTCCTATGAGTTTACTAGGTGTTCAATGAATCCAAGGTCCACTTGGACCAATATACGTCAACATCCATTGTCGTTAAATAAAGCTGGACCTTCGAGCAATATGGCTAAGAGCCAAAATTAACCCAATACAACAGAGATTCATATATCCACCGAGTCGCACCGACACAACCTCCATCAACTATGCAACGCATACATAATTAAACAACACAGAATTCAGTCACTGAAATAAACGCTTTATTAGTTCTACAATTACAGCAGAAACGTGTACGCATTGGAACAGTTCTACGCGCCCTCTTGAAGGACTTTATTAGCTGGAGAGAATAGATAGATAGTACTCTCGTTTTCCAGATGATCCAAACCAGGAATGAAAGAAAAGCTTCGATGAAGAAGCTAGAGCAGAGCAACAATGGAGAACAACAATACCATAACCGAAATGAAGTGGACGGGTGAGAGAGGAGCAGAGTTATTATCAACAGGCTGGTACCCATACCCAACGGGAGGGGTGATGGTCGGAGTAGTACCACTAGTAGGATATTGACAGCACTGGACTGGTACAGTTGTGCAATTCAATGGTGGTGGCGGTGGCACAATATCTGAAGGATAAGGCAGCACCGGCGGAGGCGGTGGAACTCCGCCGGTTGGGTAGTCAAGCGACGGTGGCGGCGGATTGAGAGGGTGGCAGGCATAAGGGCAGATGGTGCAGTTGATGCAACCGGGAGGTACAACATCCCAGTTGGCTTTCCTACTGCCTAGACATTTCTGGCTAAAGAAAACTAGTACCAACATAGTAACGAGTAGGCCATGGTTTTTACTTCCCACCACCATGTTACTCTGTTGTCCCCACTTCATGATGACAAAAGGAGAGGACAGGGTACAGAAATTTTGGTTGTTGGTGGGTTCTGTGCAAGGGAATGTGAAGCGGCTGAGACAAAGGGGAAAGTGATGAAGAAAGTAAAGTACCTCTGTTTCCAGAACCGGTCTTCTCTGGTAGTGGGTTTTGAACCATCTTCTTGAAGAATCCCCTCCCATGGTTCGGCTCTTGTGCCGCATGGCAGACCACCTGTCAAGTTTACAGATAAAGTGGCCTACAAGTTTGACGTAACTTCTTTCATTGTTGCACAAAATAAAACAGGTGCGGATAAGGTGTACTTTTGGGGTTATCTTACAAGAGTAGAAGAAAGGACAAGACAAGGAGACGTAAAGATCATTAGATCATTCATTTGTTTTTCTCTTACAACACATTAAGCAGAAGTAGATGATAACTAAACCGCTTTCTGGGGATGATCATCAGAACCTGACAAACCCAGATCCCTGAGATTTGAGTACAGATGACTTGCCGGGGCATTTGCAGCTGAGCTCAAGGGTATTGAGGGAAACCCCGCGTAATTGCTTTCCATCTTTGCTGAGCACAGATCAACTATAAGCTTGAAAAGGTCGTGGACTTGTGCGACTGGCTGAGCTGCGTACTTCTCGAATGGCATCCACTGGAGAGAGAGGGGGAAAAACAGCAGTTTGATTAAGTAAGAAAACCCCCTATTCATCAAGTGCAACGTTTGGCATTCTTGCCTATATTGAGCTACCATGGAGTGATTCATTCCACCATCACAAGTTAGTTTTGTAGATATCAGCCAAGTGATGTATGGTCTAAAAAGCAGCTAATGTGGAATTACGAGTCCTGAAAGTGGAACTGACGTGAATTTACCTGGGCATCCTCGATCTCTAGCTCCTGCTTTTGAATCTGGGATGAAAGTGGACGCAGCATGCAGATGAAGAATAAATCTGATTTCTTGAAGAATACTTTGTGTGCTTCCCTGTGAAATAATTGCTTGAATGTGAGACGGCATATTGAGGTAATGTCAAACCAGTTTCAGCCAGTAACCCAACTGCTCTTTTGAGTGAAATGTCGCTATTTAAGGTTCAGCATATAATTCAAAAGCTGAAGACATGTTGGCCATCAGATGCACGATTACAGACCTGAATGCTAGAATCTCCAGAAACTCCGTGTCAATCTGACGAATAGGAAACAAAACATGCGAGCTATCAGAGCTGGTAACAAAACAGGAACGTACAAGGTATGAGGACCGCTGACAACTTACCCCAGTTTCTTCCTTCACTTCTCTAATCGCTGCAGTGAAAATGTCCTCACCCTGCAAGTGGAGCAGTGCTTATTTGATTGGGTTTAGTATTTGGACCACTGGGATTTGAGGAAACAAACCCCTTCAAGGAAAACCAACCTCATCAACAACTCCAGTAGGGATTTTCCATATTCCTGTTCCCTTAAACACGCCACTTTTCTCCTGCACCACAAGTACCTAAAGAAAGGAGGGCTAGAAATGAATACGACAAACCGAAATGAAATGACAAGTAGTACATGAGAAGCACAATGTCTTCGGGCAAGGGATAAGGTGCAGTAGTGCATTTTACTCGCCAAAATATAAGCTTCATGTAACTGGAAGGGAAGATTAAGTTAAATCAAGTACCTAAGAACTACTAGGAGAGTAACACCAGGAACGCAAAGATCAAACCGGACTAGAAGAGCTTGCTGAGACAACAATAAGGTGGGAAGCAAATTTAGTACCTCCTTTTTATCATTGAAGACAATGGCACCAACACCAACTCTATGCGATGCATTGGCAGGGATGGTGCTGGGGGTTTCAGGTATCCAGTGAACAAGCATGATATAATCTGGTTCCGCATGGTGATACTTAAATCCTTCCTGGTTCAGTAAGAATGACAGACCACGAGAAAATCAATTACTCATTCTTCCATTGTCAATCGTGAGTAGAGGTGGCAATTAGGATCCAAATCCATGAATCCAATCCAATCCATCCACCAAATTATCCACCTAATCCAATCCATTTAAATCCAATCCATTTGATCCAAATCCAGTTGGATTGGTGGATTCATGGATCAATCCATGGATCCAAATGACAAATTATGATTTGGTACATATATTTTTTATATTTTACATTTTGGTACCTAAAATCTATATTTTTATACGAAAAATATCATTGGAAAATTACATTTTGGTACCTAAAATTTTTCATTATGACATTTTGGTACCAAAACTTTTCACATTTTACATTTTGGTCCAAGCCTTGGATGTCATTTGGATTCATGGATCAATCCACCAATCCATTTGATCCAATCCATGAATCCACCAATCCATTGGATCCAATCCATTTGATCCATGGATTCACCAATCCAATCCACGAATCCACGAATCCGATCTAATTGCCACCTCTAATCGTGAGTGAAGTAACTACTTTGGAGTTCATTTGTTAAAGCTGCGGTACAATGGTAACAAAATGGGGAAACGCAAAATATAGAGGATGTAACATGATGGTCTCCATGCTTTTGGCCTATGGCCTATGATAATCGATCTCGCATGTTACCTAGAACAAATGTGGAAATATAAAAGAAGAAATAATTACCTTGACAGCAGGTTCAACTAGATTTGTCACTGCAATGGGCAGCTTTATCCAGACTCCCTTTTTCCCCTGAATTCACAGATCATTGATGCCAATTACAATTTGTAAGCAATTCATGCCATTATAGCGCCTGGACTATGTCTGTAAATAGTTTATGCATAGCGAAGATATACTAAGTAGCAAGCAGATGTCATAGGATACTTGAAAGAACTGGTTTAACATAACCATATTTGCCGTATCGTTTTTGCATCACAACTGCTTCCCTGAGGACTTTTCTCCATCATTTTCTGCACACAATCTTAAAGCACATCAAACCTTAATCTCCCTAATCACGTTTTTAATGCGTTGTTCATACGATTCAGCGTCTAAATGGTTTACTAGACGACGCCTATGGCTAAAACCCACAGGACATACAAATTCCAAGTTTTGGAACTCGTAATCACCAGACAGTTCCCCACCATCACACATTCACAATGCCTAAAGAGCTAAAAGAGAGTTCCTCTAACCTGCTTCTTCCAATGCGACATGGAAGCTACAAGCAAGGTATGAAAGAGAGCAGGATCCATGGCCTCCACAACATTCACAACCACGCCTCCATGAACATCATCTCTTGCAGGAAGTATCTCGACATCTTTGGCTCCATTCGCAACCGTGGAGTTCATCGAAACCGACATAGTTCCAGCCACAATCGGGGTTGCAAACTGCCGAGAACAAATAACAATCATGAAGTATGCATCAAAATCACAAACTGGCGCGAGCAGAGTTTCAAATTCCAATCACAAATACAACAAACATATTACGCACACCAACCCTCCAACAACTGAGAATTCAAATTACGAAACGAACAAACACTATCTATCCAGTTTTGGGAGCGGAAAAATTCAAACCGGAGATCATGGAATTCGAGAGAAGTTCAATCTCCGCTGCCACTTACCCGCACGATCGCCGAGGGTCAGGTGAGAGTTCTGAGTGTGGAGCGTTCAGATGCAATACTTGTAGTGATACTACAATAGAAGCTGCGACTGTGAAGGGCGCGGGATGACGCAGTTGTGGCGCCATGGGATGACTGAGGAGGAGTACGGGCAGACGTCAGGCGGGACCGCGATGTCGGATGACCGACGCGGACGCCCACCGGCGGATAATGATTGAAGTCTCGCCGGCCACACGTTTGGTAGGTGGTAAAGCAAAAGCTTCTCGTGAATAACTTTAAACCATCCAATAGTGGGCCTCGGCGTGGGCTTGGTCACTGGATGGGTCATTTTCAATCATTCGGATCCCTTTCCTCTTATCTCATTCAACCATTTGACCTTTTGACACCTTCGATGTAAATTAATTTCATGTCGACGCCTACTTTATTTTCATCTTCCTCGCCTTGTTAAGTACTTGTAATCTTGTATCTTTTTAGCGTTACATGCCCAACAACCCGGGCAGATTCGGACCCAGTCGAGTTAGTGGTTCAACGGTTAATAGGTCACCTGTTTTAGCCCGAAAATATGGAAAATGTCATTATATTGTACTTATCCTCATAAATTATATCAAATCTCATCTTAACATATGAGTCATAACATATAATATTACACCAAAATAACATGCCCTACTTAGATCCAGCATATAGTGAAAATTCACACACACTTATATAACATCAATATTCAAATGTTCAACATAGAATTCCAAAGGTTGAGTTAGGCGAACATAAAAATCGGAAAAGAAGCTCATTTCACAAAACAAAAAAAAATGACACAATTTAATCTCTAATCCAGTACCTTGTAGAGGTCGACCCAACAGATGCGTGCGACGCGTTTTTCTCACTGGGCCAAAGTCAAAGTGGGTCAAACTGTTGGTCAACCTGCGAGTTGACAACCTTGTACATGCAAGAAGGACCTCCGAAGTTCTTATTCCAGCCCTAGGTTAATCACAAACCACACGATTAGTTCTTACTGAATGCAGTTAAACCAATAAACTCAAAACAATCAATATTACTAACCGCAACTAGATAACGGCCTTCTTATTCGATTTGCGATTAACCACAAAAACACATGATTTCAGTGCGACTTGCCGTTTAACAACAAAACCACAGTAGTATTGCCACCCCTACAAGTATGCATATGTAACAATTTCCATCCCTGCCAGAGCAAAGGGATGGATTTGAGACGAAAAGAAACTCGACCGTAAGCGCCTAAGCGGGCATCTGAGAGACCAGATCAGTGTTTCTTCACGTTTCAATGGCTTCTCCTATTGGGACATCTATCCAAAACCCATCTCCTTTCTATCAAAATTAGAGGTGGCAATTAGGATCCAAATTCATGAATCCAATCCATCCACCAAATTATCCAAATAATCCAATCCATTTAAATCCGATCCATTTGATCCAAATCCAATTGGATTGGTGGATTCATGGATCAATCCATGGATCCAAATGGCAAATTACGACTTGATACCTATATTTTTTATATTTTACATTTTGGTACCTAACATTTATATTTTTATACAAAAAATATCATTGGAAAATTACATTTTGGTACCTAAAATTTTTCATTATGACATTTTAGTACCAAAACTTTTCAAATTTTAAATTTTTGTCCAAGTCCTTGATGTCATTTGGATTCATGGATCAATCCACCAATCCATTTGATCCAATCCATAAATCCACCAATCCATTGGATCCACCAATCCAATCCACGAATCCGATCCAATTGCCACCTCTTTCAAAATTGAAACACATACAGCAACTCAAGCTTCCATCTTTAAACGTAACAACGCACAAGGCACAACATAAGAGACCAACTCGATTTGAACCCCTCTGTACAAACTCAGCCACTACACCATTCGTCGTTGAGAGTTGACAGTACCCACCAAAACATATTAGAAAAACAAAAGAGTAAGAACACATAACGACACAACTCTTAACTCTCCTACAAGTTGGACTCGATATCACCATCACTGGCATACCAAATTCCAGAGGACACCCAGAAAAGGCGGTTCTCTCTCATTCGGAGTCTGATGAGTCATGCGTCTCACTCTGTCTAACGCTCCTCTTTGTTTGGTTTGTAGACTTCGGCATTGAAGATTCGCCCTCGTAGAAGATGACTTGAGCTTTAGCCAGCCTCTCCTCCAGAACATCCGTGGTAAAATCATCAGTCCCACCGAGCTGATCAAAACCAACCTGCCAGGATTTCATACATAACAAATTTAGGGGCAATGAAAGTAATCAAAGGGATGGTTTCTTCAAACCCACTCCTAAAGAATCTATATGAAACATCCTGCAAGAACAACGCACCACGTAGTCATCAACTTTGGCTTTCTTTATGAGGGCAAGAGTAGGAAGAACAACAATCTTGAGCTTATCAGCCAAGAAGGGGCTTTTCTCTGCCTGAATCTTCACAAATCGAGTCTCTATGTGCTGCTTTGCAAGCTCCGCGAGATGCTTGTCCATTACCTGCAAATGAACACAAATATGGATGGTTTACTTATCTACCAAATTTCCAGAGTAATCGAAGTATCTTCTCACAGGCAACGACACTGAATGACTACTATTTCAAGTGATATGTGAAAGGCAATGAACCCCACACACTGCTCCACAGACAACCCTCAAGAACTTTTATCCCTGTAATCAACCCCTAACACGTGCACAAGCAAGATGAAGCCTTGGAATTCTTGGGCTTGAACAAATTAGAGAACCCAACCAGACAAGGCAACCATACCAGGGGGTAAACAATAGATTTTCCAAGCAAAGTTCGTTATTTTCTCGAGCAAAAAGCAGTGCATTTTCCCAATCCTTAGGAAAGCTTGAAGCTTTCACAATTTAGTAATTTACACTACCACTGTGGAGTCAGGAGTGCATCAGAGAAACTCAATTGTAAGACTAGCCCAGAAGAGATTAGTATGAAACAAATATCTCTCTTAGTGAAACAGAGCTTAAACAGCCCAAATCTATGAAATTTCCGTCACGAAAAGAAAGGGAATCTGAGAACCTGCAATCCCCATTTGCTTGCCAATTCTCGTATAAATCTAAAGCGGGCCTCAATTCAAATCCTCAGGCGTGTACAAAATCTGATGGGTGTTTTACCTTGCATGGCCAATTCTCGCGATAAAAATGGCAGACAACGCGGTCGCTGGCTTTGACGACGGAGAAGAATTCCTTCTCGGCGTGGATCTCGGTGTACTCACCATGACCTAGAGAGATCCAGCGCCTACGCTTCTCGGCCATTTTCTTCATCTGCTGCAATCTCCTCTCCCTCAGCACCTCCAGATCGTCTTCGTCAAGCTTATCGAGCGCCGCGATCTCATCGTCGAGCTGGTCCTCCACGGCCTTGACTACCGACAGCACTTGCTTCTCCAAAATCTGGGATCGGAACACAACAAAGAAATATACGCAAATAAGAAATGTGACGAGTTCCGCGTAAGGAAGCGTGATGGCGGCATGGCATGAGATGTACTTCTTGAACTTTGGAATCTGCCATTGCTAGGGATTTTGTTTTGGGACGATCTTGTCCGCTCAGTTGATTCTTTGCGCTGGGAATTCGCCGTCGCGGTGGCAGTGTCCGTTGGGTTGGGAGAGAGGGAATGCCGCGGAGAGGCAGGGGGAGGATTTGATTTGTTTTCGGGTTAGGTCTTTCTTTTTTTAGGTTCAATCTTGCTATTAGGGGTGGAAATCGGTACGGTATTAGTATCCCAGTATTAAATACCGAAATCCCGAATACCGAATTACACCCTGAAATCAATCACAATCACAATCCCTAAATAATTTCGGTATCCCAATCCCAATCCCTAAATATTTTTCGGTATCCCAATCGGTACCTCGGTATCCCAATCGGTATTATCAAATACAAAATTAATTACCTTTGCCATTAATAATTAAATATATAAATTATATTTTATTGTTTAATTTAGGGCAAAGAGACTAAACAAAGAGTCTTGAGTTTCCTAGAGCTAACATCTCAAGTTTTTGTAATTGGTAATCTTTAATTTGATGAATTTGTGGTTGAGAAACGACTAATACTAGTGTGAAATAGTTATATAATGATCTATGTATAATTAAATGGCACTCTTGGTGGTTGAGGGTCACGTAGTAGTGAATGAGAGAGTCTAGTTGAGAGGATAAAATACACACTAGCTTATATTTCGGTATTGATCGGTATTTCGGTATATTATACTGATCCCAATCCCGTAATCCCTAATACCGAATAACAATTGAAACTCAATCCCAATCCCAATCCCACAAAATAATACGTGTATTCGATAATAGCAAATATAAACAAATTCGGTACGGTATTCGGTATATCCCAAATACCGGTACCAAACTTCCAGCCCTATTGCTGAGGGAGGCAGGGAAGGAGGATTTGGATTCATTTTTGTTACATTTAAAAAAAAAAAGATTTTTGTTACATTTTCAATGAGGTGGCTGGTGACCCTTTTTAATTAATGCGTTGATCATGGACTACTGACGATTAATTTCAACGAAACAGATTTATCAGCACATAATCGTCCTATCTGAAAGAATGAAACACATTATAAATTTATAATTTTGTTAAAGTTTGAAATTTCTAGTAGTATTTTTCTTTTTATAATAAAGCACTTCTACAAATATATTATAGCAGCGTTGGGACTTGGGATAGTTTTTAGCATTTTAAATTTTTTGCAACGAGAGCGAAAGTAGGAATGATAATTGTGTCTTCACTCTTCACACTCATTATTTATTGGGTAAATACAATTTAATATCCAAACCTTTCATTTTAAACAATATAATAGCCAAACCTTTTTGAAAACAATCTAATATACAAATCGTCAACTTTTCGTTCGTTTGATCGTTAGTTGATACTTCAAAAAAGTTCAAAATACGACGTTTCATCAATATCCATCGATATCTTCTCTGAAAAACCATCAACATATCGTGGTTTCAAACCCGAGAAGTCCATGACTCCACCATGATGGTATAGAATATCTGAATATTCAGTCATCTGCAATGCCAAAACAAGAAAACAAAGTTGTATTGTGACAATTTCCCCTAAACAAAGCTTTTTTGAAGTGTCAACCAACGGTCAAACGGACGAAAAGTTGACGATTTGGATATTAGATTGTTTTCGAAAAGGTTTGGCTATTATATTGTTTAAAATGAAAGGTTTGGATATTAAATTGTATTTACCCTTATTTATTTGTTATTTATAAGAAAAA